GGTGCAGTTCTAGGTTCCAGGAAATAAGGACTCAGCCACTCAGCTCTATGTTGAGACATCTAGAACATACACAGCAGGGGGCAGTTCTTGGCTGATAAGCCTAGAATGTCCCTAGCCTACCCCATTCTCAGGTCTAGGTTATGAATCTAGAATGTGAGAATGTGGTGGAGTGGGACTAGCTTGATGCACCTAAAACGTGAGGGTGTGGGGTGGGTTAGGTTGATGTATCTAAAGCATGAGGGTGCAGTGGAGTGAGTGTAAGCACACGTACCTAGAACATGAACGTTCTAGGAAATAAGGATGCAGCCACTCAGCTCTATGCTGGCACATCTAGAATATACAGATGCAATGGAGGCAGTTCTTGGTTGATACAACTAGAACATCCTGAACCTACCCCACTCTTGGGTCTAGGTTGATGTACCTAGAATGTGAGGGTGTACTGAAGTGGGACTAGATTGACATGCCTACAACATGAGGGTGGGGTAGGGTGGGTCTAGGTTGATGTTCCTAGAACATGAGAGAGTGAAAGTAGATGTACCCAGAATGTGGAGGTTCCAGGAAATAAGGACACAACCACTCAGCTCTTCATTGGCACATGTAGAACATATAGACATAGTGGGGGTAGTCTTCAGTTGACACACCTAGAACATCCCAAACCTACCCTGTTCCTCAGGTCGAGGTTGATACATCTAGAATGTGAGGGTTGGGTGGGGTGGAACTAGGTTGATGTACCTAGAATGGGAGACGGTGGTGGGGTGGATCTAGGTTGACATACCTAGAATGGGAGAGTGTGGTGGGGTGAGTCTAGATTGATGTACCTGGAACACAATGGTGCAGTGGAATGAGTGTAAGTAGGTGTACCTAAAATATAATGGTTCCAGGAAATGATGCGGTCATGCAGCTCTACATTGACACATCTAGAATGTACAGATGAAGCAGGGACAGTTTGCAGTACCTAGAACATCCCCAACCTCCCACATTTTCAGGTCTAAGTTGATGTGCCCAGAACGTGAGGGTGGGTGGGGTGGGTCCAAGTTGACATGCTGAGAATGTGAGGGTGCAGTTCTAGGCTCCACAAAATAAGGGTGCAGCCCCATAGCTCTTCGTTGGCACAGCTACAAAGTACAGTTGCAGACGGGTGGCCCTTGGTTGCTGCACCTAAAATATCCCTGACCTACCCCATTGTCAGGCGTGGCCAGGGCCGAAAAGAGGTGGCAGAGGGCCACAACACTGCTGTACTCAGGCACAGGGACCAGCTCGCGGCAGTTGTCTCTCTTGAAGGCTAACATCTTGTCCAGGAACTTGTCAAACATGCGCTGCAGGGTCTCAGCCTCACTCTGGGAGGAGAAATGGGGCATCTCAGCCTCTCAGCAGGAGACATCCACCCCGTGGAGCACCCTTGGCTCTCAGCCTGGCTGCCCACCCACACAGGCACCTTAGGGCGCTGCTCAATCCAGGAGTGGACATAGGGCCTCCAGCCCAGGTCACTGTAGTCCATGTAGACCACGCCGCAGCGGGACACTGTAGCTGGAGAGGCCACTGCCAGGTTCTCCACCTCGAAGAGCAGTGAGACCTATGAGGGGCACTGGGGGTCAAGGCTGTTGGCGGGACCCTGGCCTCCAACTACCCCTAAACGCCCCCTCCCCCAGC